CCCCTGTGGTACTTGCTGGACTGGACTGGGACTCTCTAGACCCTTCTGCTGACTGTAGGCAGTCGTACCGTCGACTCAGTGCAGTTGCACTGAGGTCCTACCTATTGACCTTGCCACTTGTCTAGGTCTGAAAACGTGGGCCTTCCTTAGACTCACCACTTGACCACTTGCCGACCTTCTAGAAGGACTAAAGCTAGGCCTCTGGACTCTACTTGGACTCCTACCTTACAGGTYTACAGTTCGAATCTCCCTACAGCCTACAACCTACGACGACCAACTTACCACTGGCTATCGTGCAGGTCACGGGTTCAACTCCAGGGAACTGTGCAGATACTGTACACAGGTAAGCTGAGGTCAAGGGATCGACCCCTGGGCTCTGCATCGGCTACTGCCAAAGGTGAGAACTGTTTCAGTCACATATATACATATATATATTTCTCATTTTATTTAATTTTCATCTAGGCTACCAGCCGGGCTGCCCGGGTCACCTTGTTTGCCTTGGCGGCTCGGCCGTGCAAGGGTCAAAGAAGGTCCCAGCTATAAAAAAAAAAACAACAAAAAAAACCATTTAAGCAGAAACATAATGAACAACTTTTGCCTGAGGGTCACATGGAAATTCTTTACCAAATTTTAAATAAAAAAAATTTAATACTTTTTTATTATTTTTATTATTTATTTTTATTTTTCATTCTTTTTTTGGCCTGGCCAGGCGAGTGGTCCCAGGCCACTCTGCTAGCCTAGAATTTCGTTCATTTATTTTATTCTTTTATTTTGCAAGCTCCATTGAGCCATTTAGTGCACCAGTGACCATACGCTCTGTTCACGGGAAGATGGTTGGTTAGAAAGCAATTGTTATCGTAAACCTGGGTAGCACGGAGAACGTGTTTGCGGGTGTTGCATAACACGAGAAACAACGTTCTCCCGTACACGAGTACGTTCCCCGCTGTATACATCCACTTCATTACGCTGGGCTACCAACTGGGCTTCCTGGGTATTGCCTCGGGACTGGCTCGGGTGACCTCTCCCGGGCCAGGCCCGTGCAAAGTCCCCGTCAAGGTCCCGGGCACCCCCAGCGCAAAAAAAAAAACAAAAAAAAAAAGGAAAAGAAAAACAAAAAAAAGAAAAAAAAGAAAAAAAGAAAAACGTAAAAAAAAACCTGAAAAAAAAACTACGTCACGCAGAATTGCAAATCAAACCACTCTTGGCTGAGGGTCATTTCGAAAATACGCTAACCTGAGAAAACACTTTCCCAAGCGGACACAAGAAACCCTGTTTCAACTTTCAAAGAGAATCTGGAAGTGTACTCTTACTTCCCCAACCTGAGAAAACTCTTTCCCAAGCGCGGAGACAATAAAAAAAAAAATCCTGATTCAAAGAGAATCTGGAAAAGCGTACTTTCTTCCCTCTAACCTGAGAAAACTCTTTCCGAAGCGAACACAAGAAATCCCAGTACTGCTGCACATCACCTCTGATCGTCTTTCTGCTCCACGTAAAGGCAAAATGCATTCGTCAGAATCTTCTTCCGTTGTCCTGTCCGTTCGGTTGAAGTTCTGGTGCCTTGTATACGTGCGTGCGCGCCTGCAACAACTGTCCGTCTACCCTCTTCATCTTTCCACCCTGCCGTTGTTCTTCGATCCGTGCAGCCACACCGACGAAAGGGCTTATTTTTTATTTACCCTTCTTCTTACCTTTCTTCCTCCGCCGCTCTTTCTGATCAGGCGACGGCTCATCCTTGCTGCCAAGCGTCGGCTGACCCGGGCTTCCCTCTTTCCCTGGTCATCAAATGCCAAAAAGCCAAGTGTACACCGCTGTGAGATTAGATTACAGCTGTGCGAACAAGCTCTGCATCGTGGAAGCCTGAACACTTCACATCTCAACACAATCATCAACGAACCCCTACATAAACAACGAGTAAGAAAATCGTAGCAAAATCATCCAGACCTAATAACACAAATAGACTTTTTAAGTACTACAAAATACTAAAACCAGAAACAAAATGGAATCAAGTTCATTCAACTGGGTTTCTGCTATCTAGCACGTATAACCATAATGCCAGAAACTGAACTGAACTGATGCCTTAAAATTCAAACTCGGCGGAGCTTCTTTTTAAGCTTCGCTTCCGAGAGAAGTTCGTGCAGCCATGCTCGTCAAAAAACTCAATAACGCTACCACATTCCCCCACACAAAATGGACCCGCGTAACGACAGTAGCAGACCGGAAAGATAGCTTGTATACATTCACAATCGACGTGCAATGCACATTGTGTTCGGGGGAAGACAGTAGTTCAAGCAGCTTGGGCACGGAATAGCAATGAAAAGAAAAAAGCAAAACACACCTAATTACTATTCCTCCCTCCTCTCTCCCACAAAGACACAATGCGGAATCCTGCAAAGCGCAAGTCGTGTCTGTCACGTAAACAGAGTCCGACACTCGGGCACGCAGGCACACACACACACACACACACACACACACANAGAGAGAGAGAGAGAGAGAGAGAGAGAGAGAGAGAGAGAGAGAGAGAGAGAGAGAGAGAGAGAGAGTTGTTACAAATTACAATTCGATATGAGACAAGAAAGTTAATAACACTTGTTCAATATTGCTAAAACACTACCATCTTCCCCTTAATAGAACGTACAGTGAGAATGCCTGTATTTGGGGCAGAAGACGGTGGCGGTCTCATCACTGCAACACTTGTCCTGCTTGTTGCCTCACGAATGGAGCAAAGACAAGGGTGCTCTCTTTTTGTTTTTCTCTAATTAAAGTGAGCCCTAGGTAATAATTTTACTCATCTGCTTCCAGCAAAGCTCAAACTCAGGTCTGCATTTCAACAGTTAAAAAAAAAAAGGGTGTACCAACTGAGGGTACCTAGGGTCCACTTTAATTATTAAAAAAAACTGAGGGTGCTCTTCATATTTGAAATTTCCCTGCCATTTTCCTTTTCCCTGCCTCTCTAGCCAACTCCTCCTCTCCAGCTTCAGCTTGTCAACAACAGAAGGAAAAAGACTTATGAAAGTTATACTTCCATTAACCAGTGAAAGCAAGCAATTATATTCCATGCCACAACAGGTGAAAGCAAGGAGGGGACTTATTATATCCATATATACTGAACCCTCACCGGGTGTTGGTGCTTTGCCCGGTGCAGCTGTCGCCTGAACTTGCTCTTGCACACTCTGTAAGAGAGATTCCCAAGACAGATCCTCATCTTCCTCCTCCTCCTTTTCCTTATCGTCCACCTTGGCGCTGGTCCGTTTCCTCTTTTTCTCGCTACCCGTATCGCTCTTCCCGGTGATCTCGTTCGGCTCCTCGTCACTTGGACTGATTGCCCTTCTCTCCTTCCCATCCCCATCATCATCTTCCTCGTCCTCATCTCCATCTTCCGGTTCCTCCTCCATGTCCTCCTCCTCCTCCTCCTCCTCCTCCTCCTCCTCCTCCCCCTGCCCCTCCTCATCATCATCGTTCTCCGAAATGTCACTTTCCCGCAAATCGTCTGTGCCGTTACCCTCGCCCGCATCATCACCGCTACCCAACCGTTCATCCTCTTCCACAAAGAAACCTTCCTGAACAGGCAACTTTCTCACCTGTTGCTTTGAAACTAGGGTAGTTATGACAGCATCCACCTCTGCTTTCTTTCTCCCTAGCGGATCTATCTCAGCCCCCTCCTCTTCGCTTTCCTCTGCATCTGCTGAGCTCCTCCTTTCAGCTTCTGCAGATGATTTCCCTGCTTGATCTGCTGTTCCCACAGGTTTATCACGTCCCGTGGATGCCGGAGCCGCTGCTGCCCGGTCCCCATCCTCCTGACTAGGTGGGGGCACAAAGAATGGTATCTTGCCTCGTTGCCAATCATACAGAACCATCTTCGCGGCTGTATTCAAGTCAGGCTCCCCTTTCTTGGATTTTTAATTCATCACCAATAAAGCGTCAGCAACCACAGCACCACACACACACACACACACACCAGCATTAATTCAGGGCCAGAGACATCCATATGCGCCACGCCATTCAACACTGTGACTGCAATGTCGAGTATTGGATGCGGCGTTTCCACAGGCCGCAACCGAACTGGCCCTGTTCCGCTCCGCTGGGGTGAGCTGATATGCTGGCAAATAATGCTGCTCCAACTCGCCACTCTGTCTAGAACCCCATACCCCTATGATAAACACTTTCAACGAACACATAACAGAGTAGAAGACCTCTTTCTTCTTTTCCTTTCTTTCTCTCTTTCTTTTCTAACAATGAAAGCTTCCAAAAGTGGATGCTTCTACATGAGCTCCAAGGAACCAATTAAGAACTGGTACCAGGGAACCAAATAAGAACTGGTACCATAAGTACTTTCACTGCAAAAGATGCAAAAGAAGTAATCAATAATCACTATTTGACATCGTTCCACACTCACAGAAACACCCTCCTTCCCTCCTCCAACCCCCCCCCCCCCCCCCAAAAAAAAAAAAGAAAAAACACCAGGCCATACAAATTGGGCGTCCGTCGTTAAAAAGTGGAGTCTGCGACAGACACAGCATAACTCCAATTTCCCTGTTTGAACTTGAATGCAACGGTGCAACAGAATGTGACGAAGACATTTAGACATTAAGACCTGATGTTGTGATAGCAACAGCATAACTGCAACTACTTGACGTTGACACCGAAAGAGTTTTTGAAACGTTTTTTAATCTATGCAGCAAGTATTGTGAATACCAATACGATGACCACAGTTCCCTTTCTTTAAGGGAAAACAAAAGAAAGGAAAAGGCAAAAAAAAACTGGGCTACAAATCAAATCGGGCGGCTGGACCAGGCAAGTGCCAGGGAAGGTCCTTGCAGGAACCGGTCTTTGCGGGAACAACTTCTCCCCAGGGCTAAATCAAAATTCTTTACCAATTCATAATAAAAAATAGAAATGAAAATAAATAAATAATATTGAATATTCAAAAAAAAAATTCTCTCTTTTTTTTTTGGCCCGACTGGGGAAGTGCTCCCGGGCCACTCTGGTAGCCTAGGAAAAAACTTCAAAAAAGTTAAAAATCTCAAAAAAAGAAAAGGAAACAGGAAAAAAAAAAACAAGAGCTCCCTCTCACCTTCAACAGTTTGCCAGTTTGCTTTGCAATTTGCGAAAGAAAGTCCTCGTCGTTCTCCCTGTCAGATTTGTTAAGTTCAAGTCAGCAAAGTGGTGATCTTATTTCTATTCAACAAAATTGCAAGTCAACCATCAAACAATGACCAGCGAACGAAACAATGAGATGCAGGGGAGAGGACCAGGGGAAAGGAACAGCATCGAGGTGAAGATCCGTATACAGCAATAGAGGGGAAGAATAGGTCAGAGGGCAGGCAGACTGTAATGCCGAGAAGGGATGTGGGAGGAAAGACGAAATGGGCAAACGTTCGTACAGTCATGCAAGTTCAGCGGGAGGAGGAGAGGGGGGAGGGGAGAGGGGGAAGGGGAGAGGGGGGAGGGGAGGAAAGCTCATTGTGCGCGTCATTCTTAATTGCTTGCCTGCGGTGTTCATATGATGCCGATCTTAATGGTTGCGATGTGTTAACCGGCCTATGACTCTCTACGACCATCACTCGCGTCTGTCCCCTAAACAGCACACACTAGTCGGTCTTGATACCATCTCGATGCGGGTTGCAGAACCCCAATCTGCAAATCTCCCAAACATGACACGGTCTTTGATCCCGATCAAAGCCTTTGCCTTTTCTCCCCCGCTTACATGCTCCAAGCTAACAGACCATGCACCTATCGAACACAGAGAGAGAGGGAGAGACGGAGGGGGGGGGAGAAAGAGAGAGATGCCTGACCCCGGCAGAAGAGGGAGCGACCGTGATCAAAGCAAGGAGCGGGATGACAGAGAGAAAGAGAACCAGGATTGGGGGGAGAACACATGTGAGGTAGGAGGATGTGCTCTTTTTTTTTGGGCATAATGATCCTGGTCATGATGACAGTGATGATGATGATGATGATGATGATGAACGCTCCTTTTTTTTTTTGGCCACAATGACAATTGTCCTGACGACAATGATCATGATGCTGATGACGATGCTGATGACGATGCTGATGACGATGCTGATGACGACGATGATGATGAAGATGACGACGATGATGACAATCACTGTGCTGATTATGGTGATGCTGATCACCCGTAATCTCCCCCTGCCATGTGCACAATCGTGGTCCTGCTTTTTGTTTGTTTCCCCCCCCCTTTCGATCAAATCAATCACTCTGGGGCGACATGTGATTGAATGTGTTTTCCCTAGAATCAAATTGTAGATTGAACCGTACCCCAAACCAACACAGGTGAACAAGTAGAGTATACTAAGGCGCTTGAGATAACCATGTTGAAGGAACTCGGCAAAATGACTCCGTAACTTCGGGCATTTGTTTTGCAAAAAAAAAAACACAACTCTGCTTCATTGGTCAGCAGACAAGCAAGGTGTCAAATGCAACGAGGAGAGATCACCGGTCTTTCATCGTCAGCTCCTCCTCCTCCTCCTCCTCCTCCTCCTCCTCCTCCTCCTCCTCCTCCTCCTCTTCTTCTTCTTCTTCTTCTTCTTCTTCTTCATCTTCTTCCTCCTC